GTATGGGACTCATCAATGGCAGTGCACACCCACGACTCGTGCTCCTCACAGGATTCGAACCCCGGGACCTTCGCTATTGTCAGCGATGGCCTAACTATCGGACCACTGAACCGGCATTTAACGGTGTTAACGTCTAGGTCTGATCAGCCTCCAGATTTTGCGCTACCTCACCCATTTATCTTTAGTAGTTACTGCCTACACCCGACAAGGTTGAACTCCATTGGTCACGCACGTCTTCTCAATTAGAACTCCGAGAATTTCCTCACGAGGCTAGTCACTAGTGAGCACATGTTACAATATTTTCAGTTACAGTTTTGGACATTTGTGTTTTTACACATTTGAAATCATCAGTCAATCATTGTTAGACCACATCATTAGAAACCTGGAAGCACTGAAAGACGGCCGTTTCGTCCTGTTATGGAACTCATCAATGGCAGTGTACACCCACGACTCCTGCACCTCACAGGATTCGAACCCTGGGACCTTCGGTATTGTGCGCAAACGCCTAACATCTGTGGACCACTGGGTTGGCATCCAATCATTAATAATAATAATAATAATAATGATATATATATATATATATATATATATATATATATAGAAAATCTCATTGAATTGTATACAATAGTAATAAGATAAACAAAAAAAGGTATCATAAATTATTCTTATTGATGGATGATAATAACAGTTTACTTTTCCCATAGGATTAAAACAAATTCCATATTTTTCGTTTATTCTTCATAGATAACATTGAATTCATTCATCTATGATAATATGAATGCCGCTTAAAATATATTGACTACTTCTCTCTATCTCTCTTTCTCTCTCTCCCGAAAAAAAGAACAAACAAACTAATTAAATAATAATAAAAATGAAATTATTATTATTATTTTTTTAAAAAAAATTTAAATATTTCATAATATTATAATTTAACACAAAACATTACATCTCAATGAACTTTTGAACTCATTTTATTTTTTTTTCTATCGATAATTCACCCATAATAACACAAAATATCAACAATAACACCAAAAAAAATGTTTTTTATTTGTAATTATTAATAAATGAAAAAAATAATTATTTTTTCTATTAGAAATCATAATTCCCATGTGTATTTATTAAGTTAAATCAGTTGAATTGTTTTGTTTGTTTGTTTTTTTGATTTTCGCGCCCTTTTTTTTTTTATATTCAATATCAAATAAAAATATTTAAAACAAATCACTTGAATAATGAAAAAATACTAAAGAAAAAAATATATGTTGCATCATTTTAAATATAAATCTTAATTAGTGAAAATCGTCATGATAATGATAATAATAATTTAATTTAGATATTGTACTGAATTATTTTGTAAAATTTGATGAAAGTTTGAAATAATAATGTCAAGATAGTTCTAGTGTATGGAGAGGAAAATTGGAGAATTATGAAAGTCATCATTCAGAAGATATAAGTATATTTGAACAGTTGTTTAGGCAAAATACTTCGGATTCGTTGGTCAGACACCATCAGTAACAACGAACTGTGGGAGAGAACAAACCAGATTCCAATAGAGGAGAAAATTAGGAACAAGCGGTGGAAGTGGATAGGACACACATTGTGGAAAACACCTAAGTGCGTCACAAGATAAGCCCTCACATGGAACCCTCAAAGCAAAATGAAAAGAGGAAAGTCAAGGAACACATGACTCTGAGAAATAGAGAAAGATATGAGAAGAATGAACAAAAACTGGAAAGAACTGAAAAGGGAAGCCCAGGACAGAGTAGGTTGAAGAAAACTGGTGGTCGGCCTATGTTCCATTGAGGGTAACAGGCGTCAGTAAGTAAAGTCTTTAAGTTGAAATAATACAAATTGAGTAAATATGAATGATTTGATTCTATTGGATAGTTTGTTTTTCTGAGTTGAATACATTCTGTCAATCAGTATTCAGTATTTCACATATATTCTACGCCTAGATCCCTTCTAGGGTTATTGGCGGTCCCAAACCCGAATAAGGGAGGCGTGTTGGGCATGAGGTTAGCGACCCCATTCCGTGGAAATCCAACTCGCTAAAAGAATGCTAACCAGTAAAATGATACGCTGATCGACTGCTTATACTCCATTAGTAGTAACAGGCGTAAGTCAGTAAGTAACTTCACATACAGAATCAACCTTAAATTGTCAAGGTACTGAGATGAATACAATAAATTTGTATTACTAAGTCTAAATAAGTTGTATACAGTTTTAATTCCAACCAACTTGTAGCATAATGCGACAGTCATCCAACAATCACGTTCTTAACAGTTTTTACTTCATTGTGGAGTCGTTATTGTGCAGTGTTGAAAAATATACAAGTAAGAAGATTCAATCCGGTGCTTTGGTTGATAATCAAAAACCATCATTCCATTTTTTTAAAAATTTTATTTCATGTTATGTAATTAAAATAGTGTTAATAAAAGGAAGTCATTGGTTCGCTTCAGTACCAAATCAATGGTATGAGTTGTTAAAGTGCGCTGGCGTTAATTAGTTCAATGATTTATAGTCTCGAATTCAATCAGTTACAAGCCATACTATAATCCTTGTTCAGTTTGATTGATAAGTGGCCGTTGCGTTTCTAACTTAGTGAATTGTAGTAGATAACGTTGAACAATCATTGGTTTTTAATGGTATCCTAAATGAATATAACCTACAATGTATATTGATATTTTCTTACCAAGCCATTATATAATGATGTAATTTTGATCTTCCTGCCAACAGTATATTTTTCAGTTAGGTGATTTACAAAGATTTGTACAATTTGAAGATCTTGAGTATCGTGGGACAACCGAGTATGCAATGCTGTTTTTAGGAAACGGGTGCTAGGTTAGGATGGCAGATCAATGGATGAAGTATTGAAACTTCATCAGTTCAGGTGGTTGGGACATGTGTTGCGTATACCTAACCACCGACTACCTTGTCGAGCTATATTTTGCGGTTTAGGAGTAGGTTGGGAGAAAGTTAGGGGCAGCCAGAACAAAACATGGGAGAAATCCATGAAGTCACTGACTAGTGGACTGAGTCATGTTGGTAGGTGTCGACTACCTGGTTGGGGTCCGCGAGATGATAATAATCGATGGTTACAGACCCTGAGCTTCATTAAAATAAATCATCGGTCAATGTTAGAACACCAATAGAAACCTGGAAACACTGGATGGCCGTTTCTTCCTGGTATGATAGATTCATGATTTTAATAAAACTGAACAATCTCAGCAACTCTATAATGAAAATCATAAGATATGTTCACTAGTGACTGGCTTCATGAGGAAATGCTCGGAGTTCTAATTAGAAGCCGTGAACAGTGAAGTTCAACCTGTTCGGATATAGACAGTAACTACCCAAGACAATGTATGAGTTTGCGCAACACTGTGAATTGATCGAAGTTAGACATTAACATTGTTAGATACCGGCTCAGTGGTTCAGAGGTTAGACGTTCACGCGCCAGACTGAAGGCCCTGGGTTCGAATCCTGGCGAGGTGCATGAGTCGTGGATGCGCACTACCATTGATGAGTCCCATACCAGGACGAAACGGTCGTCCAGTGTTTCCAGGTTTCTTATGTTGGCCTAACTTTGATGGATTCATGATTTCAAATATATATAAATATACAGTAACATGAAGATTATAGACATGAACCTGTATAAGTGATTTAGATTAAATAACTGTTCACTATCATTGTGAGAACAATTTATACATCAATTACTTTAAGATTTTCATTGAATTTCATCTACAATTAATTCATGTTGCAAATTTTTTCTAAATTAAAATTGTAAAAATATCTTCATATTGAAATGGTGAATAAATGATTGTGCTGGTGTTTCGTCCATTGAGCTGGATGCTTTTTGTTTATGGGAGCTTTCATTGTTCTCCTGCTGAATAACATCATCATTAGCACAAAGTTCAGATAGCAGAAGTGAAGTATTTGAATTTCTCCATGTTTTGACCTGTAGTTTGTTCTATCTGAAGTTTGTGCTGATGTTGTTGTTTAAAAGGTCAATGAAAGCTCCCACAACAAAAAACATTCAGCTCAGAGAACAAAAAACATCACCACAATATTTTTATATAATAAGATAGTGCTTTATTTATATCCGTAAACTGGTTTCATTGACACATTTAAAATCATCAATCAATCATTGTTAGGCCATCATTACAAACCTTAAAGCACTGACCGTTTTGTCCTGGTATGTGACTCATCAACGGCAGTGCGCATCCACAACTCCTGCACCTCGCAGGATTCGAACCCAGGACCTTCAGTATTGTGCGCGAACGCCTAACTTATGTGGACCACTGGACCAGCATCCAACGGTGTTAATTTCTAACTCTGATTGACGTAGAAATTTCGCGTGACCTCACCCATTTGTCTTTGTTAGTTACTACCTACACCTGACAGGGTTGAACTCCATTGGTCACGCACAGCTTCTCACTAGAACTCAGAGAATTTCCTCATGAAGCTAGTCACACTAGTGAGCACATGTTACGATATTTTCAATTAGAGTTTTTGGAGATTTGTGTTTTTTACACATTTTTAGAAATCATCAATCAATCAATCATTGTTAGACCACACCATTAGAAACCTGGAAGCACTGAAAGACAGCCGTTTCGTCCTAGTATAGGACACATCGAAACTGTTATGTATACACAAGATAAATTGTATACAACACACAACCACCCATATAGACATAGGATTATGCTAGAATCGGAAAACAATTCTATTGGTTAATTTTAATCATTTATTTTTTTCTTTCTTACCAATAACTGACTTTCAATTTATTCCCTTAAATATGCTTTTGTCAATGGTTTAAACGGATACAGTATTTTACCTTAGGGGAAAATATTTGTGTCGCTGATAAACTGATTTAAACAAATCAAAAGTGAATATTTATTTTTTTTCCTTTCCGGTTTTGCTGAACTTGTTATCGCACATATTTATGTATATATATAGATAAATCTCTAGTAAATTTCTAAATTCGTAGTATTCTTGTTTAAACAATGAAACGTGAAATCAGCATTGATGACAATTTTGAATCAATTAATTTGGGAAAGAAATTATCGATTATTGGAGATGAATTCAATGAGGAATTAATGAATACTAAGAAGCCTATTACAGGATCTTTATCACAACAAGAAATTATTAATGGACTTTCTGTTACCTTGATAAATCAATCATATGAACAAGAGGAGGTAAGAACATACTTCTTGATTTAGGATATTCTAGTAGTTGTATAGTGCTGGTGTTTCGTTGTGGAGCTTTCATTGTTCTTCTGTTGAACAACATCATCATAAGCACAATACTTCAGATAGCAGAAGTGAAGTATTCAAATTTATCCGTAGTTTAGCTCGTAGCTTGTTTTATTATCTGAAGTTTGTGCTGATGATGATGATGTTGTTCAGCAGAAGAACAATGAAAGCTCCACAACTAAAATATCCAGTTGAGAGTACGAAATACTACCGCAATCATCTACCTGACCTACAAATTTTCTCCGTCATCTCAATTATATAGTCTAAAATAATTCATGACCAGTTGTGTAGGCAACACAATGGGTGAGGTTGAGTAATACTTTGGATTGATTAAAGTTACACATTAACACGGTTAGATGCCAGCTACAGGCTAAAAGTTCGTGTTCCACTCCTCCTATATGTTGAGGTCTTGTACGCACACTGTTGATGAATCTTATACTGGGACAAGAAGGTCGTCCAGTGCTTCCAAGAATCTAATGATGATTTAACAATGATCGATTCATTACTTCAATAAACTAAAACAATATTCATAATGAAGCAGTTGATTAGTGTTTTAAATGACTTTGTGATATGTTTACATGACATAGAGTGTGGTGTGAGCTACTTATAAGTAGTATATGACGTGAGTGTCAATGTAATGTCTGGCAGCATAATATGGGGGAAGATCAAGAAAGGAAGAGTGTGAACACAATGGAATTTGTATGAAACGCATGAATAGTGAAATATCAGACAATGGATTGATGTTTTGCAACAGGAACAGTCCAGTTCGATATGATGAACTGATATTTTGCAAATTAACGATTTACGATATGGTTTTCCCATTTTACTGAGTAACTTTGTAATTTTCGTTAAACACAGTTCGGTTGCCCTTACCTATGTTCTCCTTCGCTACAAGAGTATTTGTAGTTTAAAAATATGGCTGTTGAAATTGTATTCTGTAAGCTAAGTGATGTAATCAACATGTTGTTTAGAAAACAAAACAAAAACAATGTAAGCCTTTAAAATCAAATCATCCAATCCAGTGAGAATACGATTTCAACAAAATCATATAGCGTATTTGATAATTTCAATCATTTGTTCAATATTTTTATTGAATAATTCAATTTTAAATGCTAATTTTCATTTTGGCTTAAATTCAAATGCCTTTCTTTTTTTTCCGTACACAGAGAATGTCAATATTCAATTTAATGAATTGGTTACAAAGAATTCTACAACACGCTGACTAATTCATGAGATTTTTCACGAGAAAAAAAAACTCAAGAAAATTCTGAGGCTAGGCATATTTGACGCTTCCAAATATTCAATTCTCTTCGATTGTTGAGGAAAATTCATAAATGGCGCATACATATATAATAAAGGAAGCTATGAATAATGGCGAAGTTAAAAATGAATATGTACATTAAAATGGACATTTATAAGAAACGATTTGATAAGGTGATACATTTTTCTGCAACAAAATATCAGAGATCAGCTGAACATTTGTCTGACGCGTGTCAACCAGTGTTATGAATATTGGAATATCATTTATCCACAAGAAATAATCTATAAAAATAACTTATCATTTTAAATTACCAGTTTAAAAGATCACTATGACCATTTAAATAGTGAAGGAGAACACAGGTGAGGGCAACCGAATTATATTTAACGAAAATTACAGAGTTACTCAGTAAAATAGGAAAACCATATCGTAAATTGTTCATTTGCAAAATATCAGTTCATCATATCGAACTGGACTGTTCCTGTTGCAAAACATCAATCCATTGTCACACTATTCATGCGTTTCATACAAATTCCATTGTTTTCTAACTCTTCCTTTCTTGATCTTCCCCCATCTTCTGCTGTAAGACATTACGTTCACACTCACGTGATATACTACTTATAAGTAGCTGGCACCACACTACTTTTGAATTATCTTACCTTTTTCAATATTCAATGTTCAATTTAATTTAATTGATTAAAATTTCACTTTTTGATTTCAACCAGTGTAATGAATTAGAATATGAATTATCCACAAGAAATATTATTTATGAAAATAACTTTTAAATTATCTTTAAATAAATTTATATTTTTGAATTATCTTGCCCCATTTTTTTGATACTCAATATTCAATTTAATTTATTTTATTGGATTAAAATTTCAACTTATTTCAGTAGTTAGTTAATATTGTATGCGGTAAATTAAATTGAATAATTATTAAAAGATTATCACTATTATATAAGATGATGAGAATAATTACAGTGATGTTTAATTTTCATTTTGAATTAGTATGATTCACTGATTAAATTTAAACGAATTTACTAAATGATGATGATACATTGATCACATGTAATATAGTTGATGATTTAAATTGTCAGTCAGTCAGTCAGATGCAACGTAGAACTTCGTACGTAAGTATATCAGTTTATGTCGCCATACCACATCAGCACAGAGATGTAATTGTCAATTCAAGTCCAATAGTGGAAGAGGTAGTAAGGGTATAAGAAGTAATCGGAGAGGTTAGGATTAGAAGATATTATTCAAGAAGTATGATTCAGTGAGAAAAGTTTAGAAAGTCAAAAGTAGAGGTGTTGAAGAGTCCAGAAGGTTAGGATTTGAGAGAATACAAAGAATAAATGCACCGCAGCCATTGCGAACGATTTTGAGCCATGTCATTCAAGGTCTCTGACCATCGATTATTATCATCTGGCGGACCCCAACCAGGTAGTCGACAATTACCGACATGGCTAAGTCCACTCGTCAATGACTTCATGGATTTCTGCCATGTTTTGATTTGGCCGCCCCTAACTTTCTTCCAACCTATTCCTACACTACAAAACATAGCTCGTTGAGGCAGTCGGTGGTTAGACATACGTAACACATGTCGTAACCACCTTAACTGATAGTTTCAATACTTCATCTATTGACCTGCCATTCTTACCTAGTATCCGTTTCCTAATAACAGCGTTGCTCACTCGGGTGTCCCACGATATACGAGCAATGCTTCGAAGACACCTATGATCGAAAACCAGTAACCTACGAACATCGTCTACTCTTAACGGCCATGTTTCACAGCCATAAAGTAAGAAGGAGCGAACTGCCGCGCAGTACACTCGTCCTTTATTCAGCAAACGGATATCTCGTCTACGCCATAAGTGACGCAAGTTGGCAAAAGCCAATCGAGCCTTCTGTATCCGTGCTGAGTTTGCGTCAGTCACCAGGCCATCGGCACTGATGAGACTCCGAAGATAAGTGAAGCGGTCTACACGTAAGCATTGAATGTTTAAACATTTCTATCATATTAAACATTAGAATAAGAACAATGAGTATTTTTTTAAGAAATAAGTTCTTACTAGGTTCGACAATTACATATCTAAATCAATAATCTGAAAAGTGATCAGGTTGAGGCTGATTTAGAGATATAGGTTCTAAAATGTACTTGCTGGCAAGTTCCTTATCAAAACATGATGATATTAAGTAGGATTTAACGGATGTGACCTGTTAAGCTACTACTGTCTAAGGATATGGTTGCCGAAAATCTTGAAAACATTATTAAACCAGCATCTGTTATCGATTTCATCGCTAACTGGTCTTTAGAAATAACCTAATTATCGGTAACGTACCTGACAATATCTCAGTTAAATCAATGAGGTAATCGATATTGAAAGCCACTAACCTTCAGGATAGTCCATTCCAATATATTCGCCTCAATAAAAAAAAAACATTAGAAGTTTTCGTGTTCAATCTTACTTAGATTCGATTGACATTTGACAGATGAACAACTAAAGGCACCTGAACTGTTAATAATCTACGCGCTTACTAAGTTTAGGAATGTTCGTGTCGTCTCAGATAAGACCATTAATCAGATAATTACTCAAAATTGTATCTAAGACGGTTATAATGCTTTAGAAAGTACAACTAATCCTGCTGACTCATCAACAGGTCTTAGATTTGCGACTAAAACTTCGCCTATCAGATACGATTCCAGTTTATTAATGAAGAACTTCAGTTTGTATCAAAATTCACCTACTGAAACCTCAGATAACGCAACTGCATTACATATCGACGTAGATCTTACGTCCTGTTACTTAATATCTCCCAACAGTACAGTAGAAGCACATACTTAAATGTCTTGCCTTACCTTGCTAGTTTGACAAAACATTGTTAGTACAAAGTTAGTACAGAAGTGCCTGGTTCTAAAACCATTACAGAAAATGCAAAGGCTCAACCAATCAAAAATAAATACCCCAAAACTAGGCATGATCCTTCTAATCATATGGGAGGTTTTTCTGGGCATACAGATAAGAACTAGTTCATTTCATCAACCTAGTTAGTCCTACAAACAACAGGTAACTTGTCGAAACTCCACTCCACAAATTATTCTTCATGCAACTAAGGCGTAAAACACCAACTATACCCTTGATATAATCAGACCTAATAATAACATACAGATTGAAGGAAACCGACATTCTGAATCTGCAATATATAACTATCCTCATCACCTCCCCGATGGACAAGATGGGCCAAAAGGTTACGTACCATATACTCCATCCCAACAAGTAACTGAATTACCTAACTATCAGCCAAATCAATTTCAGTGAATAAATTTACCATACCAAATTAATGATTTTTTATTGGTGTCACATATCCCCCTTGGTCCCAATTGCACTACAACTTACTCAAGGCATAGCCTATACGATCAAACATGCAAACCAAACCATAGTTTAGTCAGCGCTAAAATTCATTACATCAATAAGAACGTTATCGGTATTTTTACACTCTATACTTTCTTTTTAAACTCACTACTTACTAATACACGTTCATTTCTACATAAAAAATTGATCTTAAAAACCCCAGCAGTTTCTGATTCAGGATTAAATATTCAGGACTACCAGCATTATCTCTATAAATGACTCTAAAACCAGTACAAAACTTTACAACAGTATTTTTGAGAACAGTAATAATTTCTTAACAAACACTAGCTTGAAAAATATTTATGGGACTAGTAACCTAATAAATTCTATTTCTTTCATTCATTGTGTTCTCTCAAATGCTAATCTTCTCAATTCCTCATCACATTTGTCTTTCCATTTCTAAATTTATTTCACTGTACTATACTTCTCGAATCATGTCTTCGAACAATAATCTTCTCCATTACTGCTAATAATTCTAAAATCTCTACCAATGTTGAATTTGAACTGTGCTAATGAGGTATGGCAACCTGAACTTATGTACTCATGTACTCATGCACGAAGTTCTATATTGTAACTGACAGACAGACGATTCCACAACTGGGAGTCGAAACAGAGACAATCAAATATGATCACACAACCAGGACAATGGACAAGTGGTCTAGATGTTAATCACTCGTCAGAGAGATAGAGTGTACTGGGTTCGATCGTCGGTGGTGGAGTCACGATCGTATATCCTATAATGGAACTGTTGAGGATGTTTCCCTAGAACTCACTTGATGAACGTCCTAAATTTGGATTTCACGAGTTTTCGAGCATAGGCTGCTCAGTTGACCTTGAGATTACAATTCGAACTCAGAAAATCCTCTACTGTCATAGGTCGATGGATTATTTTAGTACACTATTTTTATGGCTCTCCTAAAGACGTTTCTATCTTGGATAAATGAACTCAGTTTGCGTGCTTGTCAACCTCATATTTTCTGGGTGCTTGTAGAATACACTTTCTATACCTTATCAATACTTCTTCCTCTACTTAGTGCGGCTTTGGGACGCTCAGATTTGAGTAGCCTATCATATCACTGGATCATTTGTCTTCACTCTCATTTACCGACTAAGCTGAACTCGTAACAGCTTTCAATCATATCAATTGCCAAGCATTACAAAAATAAATAGCCATTCACAACTATTTGGTTTTTAAATGATTGCCTAAATTAAATTGGATGTCAATATAATTACTATTTTATACACATGTCCTGATTTTATGTGTAAAATTAAAAAAAATCAACATGTGCACAGTTAACAATAACAACAACAATAATAGCAGTTTATTTTTTTTAATGAGCAATAAACAAAAATAGTGTTAGTTACATGTTTTTAATTTTCCTTGTTTGTCTTTTTCGTTGAAAAAAATATAAAAAAATGATCATTTGAAATTTATTTATCTTTAATAATAATGTTTATTATTATTAATATTAGTAGTATTAGTGGTAGTATTAATAGTAGTATTAGTATCATTCTCTCCTCTTATCAACATATGTTCAACAGCAGAAAAAAAAATAGCAGATACTGCTACGAAACGACAACAACTGGTTAGTTGGTTGGTTGCCTAGACAACAAGCTGGTCCTCATTTAAAACACAAAAATGACCTGTGATTTATGTGTTCATCAAAAATGAAACGAACAATGAACATACTAAATGAAAATACAAATTATAAACATATTTTTAAAAAAAAATCAAATAAATAAACAACTTGTTTTGTTTTAAAAAATAGAGACAGGAATTTTGGTGCATTTTTTTCAACATTCCACTTTGTTTAAATATTTTTTTTGATGATGATTATTTTGCAGTAAATTTGAAAATTAGTAAAAAAGAAATATTCAAGTGTCAATAAAATTAAACAATTTAGGAAATGATATATAAAATTCAATGTTTCATGTGTGTGTGTGTATGTGTGTACATGTATGTCTGTCTGTCGATCTATATGCTGTTTACTATTAGTTTCCTTCCTAATTCATTTAGAGTGTGTGTCTGTGTAATACTGACATATTTATGTTGGCTAATGATGATTATGTCTTGAAAATAGTACAACAACAAGTGAGAGAGAGAGAGAGATAGAGTGTGTATGTGAAGTGTGTGTGTGTGTGCGCGTGCGCCTGTATTGGCTTGTAAACAAAACTATTTTGCATTTAATATGATGGATGAATTAGTGTAGTTGATAAGCTGAAATTCTAATAAAAACAAAAATAAAACACTATAACTGTACATTATACTCGTTACTAAAATCACATGTATGTATGTATGCCTTAGTATGTATGGATTAGTTGCTTTGTAGCTATTGATATATTCCCTTCTTCATTGTAAATGAACATGATGAA